TATAACATAAATTATGTTTGGTTTCAATTGATTCTGTCTGTTGATCAGTTTCAGGATGAAAAAAGTATTTGAGCATCAACTATTGATGCAACAATCTGTTTTTCATCCGGATATAAAACACAATATAAAGCTAAAGGTGAAAAATATTGAATAAATATTTTCAAAAAATACTTTCGTTATTTCAAACCGCCAATGGACAAAAGACATATTTTTCTTGAACTTTAACTATCATATAAATTTCGTATTGGTAATGTTTTATCTCATCAACAAATTGTTAGTGTTGTTTGAGTAATACTTCCACTAAATGTTAATCCACTAATTGGGTGTGGGTGTGGGTATGACTCTTCTCTTAACGCATACCCACACCCGCACCCTTCGAAACTTTTCAATGTGAACACAACAATCAATACAGATATTCTATAACCAATGCCAATTCTTCACATTAACAATAAGAAATTTTCAGACCGGGATATTAGAAGGAATTTACAACAGTTCTCTTCCTATAAATACTTCGTATTCAGCAATATATTTTCTAAAAAGTGATAATATAATTGACGAAAATAGTAGTTGAATTATTTTAGTGATTCGTATATTGTGATCTAACTCTAGAACTTGTAGTTTTTCGTTTGTTCGCAATTAACTTCCGTATATGAATAGAATATAGCACTTAATGCGAACTTCTATTCTCTTTAAATAATTAAGATTTTTCAGTGGAATGGATTATTTCTTTATTCTTATCGACGATGAGCATCATACGATATATTTTAGTTTTGAGTACTAAAATAAACTTTCTAATTTGAATGATTGATATTCTCGGAATCGTTAAGATTGCTCGTATGTCATTCAAAAAAAGGTTTCCTGTTCATTTAGCTGTTGTTTCTCTTTCAATAAATCCGTTTTTTTTCGATAGTAAAAATTCTTCAGCAATAACTTCGACTAATTGATCAAGTTCTTGTTTAGTTTCCTATCTAAATTGTTCATTATCAATCATCAGATCATCTTCTGTTTTTGTTTATGTATTTTCTTTTTTCTTATTTCTGAATATCATTTAATCGTTGGTTCAGTTCCACTGACACGTATTCTTATTTCACAATCATTATAAAAATAAAATGTTATCATTTGTGTTGATGCTGAACAACGAAGTGTTGGCTTTTTATCTTTACCTTCGCCACAAAAATCAGCTACAATTTCAATAGTCAAATCTCTAACACCAGTTATATGATAATTAGCTCATATTTTTGGATGAATATATTCTTCATCTTTAGAATCTTTTGGTTGGTTTTCATCAGCATCCAAATAAGATTCACTACGATGAACTGGTGTATTTTCCTAGGAGAACATAAATTCACTAAAGAAAAATTTGTAAATTTTCTGAAAGATAGAATGTTTAACTTACGTAACATCTTCAAAACCAAAAAGAACATGTTTTTTATCATTAAGTAATTGATGTGATATATTTTCGAGCCATTTAAAACCTGTTAATGTATCAATTGTAGTAAAATCTTTAACTAAATCATATAAACATCTTTAACATCAACTGTTGGATTTCGATTACGCCAAGTAAACCAAAGCTACCAACCTAGTTAACAAAAAAAAAATAATAATTCTTTGCTTAAATAAAATGGTAAGTTACCAAGTAAAGCTCCTAATTGATTTCCAGTTAAAATTCTCCAACCAGTTTGTGTTGATCCGGTGATATCTGTTTCAGTTAATGCAAATCGATCAGCATCTGAATCAGTAGGTATAATAAAATCTGCATTATTTTTATTGGATTTGACTATTTGACTGTTGGAAAATTAGGATCAAGATTTTTTTTGTTCATCAACTGAAATAAATGGTTGAAATTTAAATGCAACAAATACTCGTTTAGCATATGATTGACCAATACCATGAGCAGGACTATAAACAAACTTTAAGGGTGTTGACACATTGAATATATATTCAAATAAAGAATTTTTTTCTTTCAAATAAAAGTTTCACCTTTTCAACAGGACCAGAAACTAATTTGGAGCTGTTATCTTTGAGTATATCTAAATTTCATGCTTTTCCTTTCCACGGTTCTAAATTAGCTTCAATAGAATCAGCAATATGTGCACGTCATTTTTCCAATAAACTTTATAATCATTATCATCTTTTGGATTATGACTTGCTGTTACCATAATACCAGCTTGACATTTTAATCTTTTTTTTTGGAATGGAAAATGCAATAGATGGTGTTGGAGCTATTATTGAATCAAATAAATAAACATGAATTCGTTTATGAGCAAATAAAGTTGCTTTCTTTAAACTGACAAATTCAATTATTTTCATTGATAATGTCGCTTCTCTACCTTCTAGACAAGCCTTCCTATTCGTCTGCAATATGGGATTCATCATTTTTTTTTGAAATATCATTTATCTC